ATATATATATATATATATACAGAGAGAGAGAAATGGGGTTTAACGTCCACTCGACACAAACTAGGTCATTTCGGGACTAACACATGGTTCAATTTTATTTCAATAATTCGCTTGCGCGTTGGGGTCTTATCAGTGGGAGGAAACCGGAGGACCCGGAGAAAACCTACGAGGTCAGACAGGCGACCATACTCCTTGTCACGTACAACCGGGGAATCGAAAACACGCTCGTTGACTCAATGACAGGCCTCATGATACAGCGTGGACGTGCTAACCATTCGAACATCCAACCCCCCGTTGATCATATAAATAAAAACACCGTATAATGAAATTTAGTTTAACGTTTCACATGTCTGCATCAACCGGACGATTGAGGTCGGACATGCGTCATGCAGTTTGCTATGGAGGATAATGTCGCGGGATAATAAAGACGGACATGCTGTTCATCAAAATCGAATTCCTACAGTCAACGGTTCTTCTACGTCCACACCAAACGTGTTGGCGTTTCCATGCCACTTAAACAATCAAAACTACAGTAAAATAAGGTTGGAAGTGCTACTAGAAGATTTAGAAAATATAAATATGTTTGTGGAGATAACGTGAGAATCTTGTATTTGTTTGTATAGCTAAATTGCGAGATGCACAACCCATCTAATTGTCTGTATCGATAATGTGCGAGATGCACAACTCTTCTTATTGTTTGTATCGATAACGTAAGAGATGCACAACTCTTCTTATTGTTTGTATCGATAACGTAAGAGATGCACAACTCTTCTTATTGTTTGTATCGATAACGTAAGAGATGCACAACTCTTCTAATTGTCTGTATCGATAACGTAAGGGATGCACAACTCTTCTAGTTGTTTCGTGGATAAAGTGAGAGATGCACATCTTTCTAATTGTTTGTATCGATAAAGTGAGAGATGCACAACTCTTCTTATTATTTGAATCGACAACGTAAGAGATGCACACCTCTTCTAATTGTTTGTATCGATAACGTAAGAGAAGTACACCTCTTCTAATTGTCTGTATCGATAAAGTGAGAGATGCACACCTCTTCTACTTGTTTGTATCGATTACGTAAGGGATGCACAACTAATTGTTTCTGTCGATAAAGTGAGAGATGCACAACTCGTCTAATTCTTTGTATCGATAACGTAGGGGATGCACAAATCTTCAAATTATTTGTATAGATAACGTGAGCGATGCACGTCCGTTTTAATTGTTTGTATCGATAACGTGAGAGATGCAATCTTTTTTATAGATACCCTCGATTCACTTGTAATCTACACACTCTATATATCGAAGCGAAGTAAAATCGGCTGATGTGTATGGATCTTTCTTTACAAATAAAAGCTGAAAACAACTGACGGTGACAGATGGCAATATTGGCTAACTTGTACTATAGGATTTCTATTAAACACCAGATCGCTTTAAATTCAGCTGTATGGTATATTATTCTCACCAAAATGTCAAACTTTTTTATTCAAACTGTGTAAAATTTGGTTGACATTTTATTCTGTAAATTCAAAGGAATTTAATGTTTAAAGAAAGCGCATCTGAAACATTCCTATAGTCTCCACGCAACATTAGGTGTGGATTTCATCAGCTGATAATGATTTTTTGTTTGTTTTTATATGAGTTCAGATCTTGCATCATATATTAAATATATATAAATATGATTCACTTATCTACACTTGCATGCACCTTTCTTCAAATTTTGACACCCAAGTAATGATTCACTGTTAATATACGAATTCGAATCTTGCCATTCTCACACAGACATCCATCTACTTTATACTTCGAGAATAAATCTCTGTCCTGAATGGCCGCCACATCCAAAAATTAGTATATTGTTTTGTAATACGGCTTCACATCTGGCATACACACAAAGGCTAAATAAACACATTATTATTTAATTTCATTAAATGGAAGTAGAATAAATAGTTCTCAAAATTCTCGAAGTAATCGTAATGTTTTCGACTAAAATCGTCGATTTAGGTCTTATGTCGGTCAACTATCTTAGTGTCTGTTCCCTAGCTGAGCATACCGTAGACAGACAGCCTAAGTTTAGTATGCGAATCTTGCATCACTTTATACACTGTAAATGGGTTGTCTTGACCTATACTTCCTTGACCCGTTTTTCACATCACATAATGATCTGTTGTTTGTTTATATTGGAGTTTGAATCTTGCATCATTTTCACAATATATTAAACATGGTATATAGGTTTTATTGACCTACACTTGTTTACCCTTTATTCACCTTTTGAAAACATTGTGATTCACGACGCCCAAAAGAGCGGTTTGTGACCTATTTTAATTGAAAAGTAAAATAAAATGGGGTTTAACGTCCTACTGTTCTGTGTCGCCTGGGCTAATGAAAACGGGCATACGCCACATCGTGTTCTCTAAGGGAAATGTTGTCCGGACAGCGGCGCTACGACCTACTTTTATATCGAATTTCAACTATCAAGGGTCTATTTACATGCAGACCAATGTGTACACGGGACATCGGTTTTCGTCCCATCCGAATGACACGAACGCTGTCTGTGCCAGCTTCTGATTCTACACACATCTTATAGATATAGAAATTGCATAACTTTGTAGGTACGCAAATGTAAGGTTCAACCCGTTCACTACCAGACTATTGGTCCCAAAATAACCTAGTTTGTGTCGAGTGGACGTTAAACCCCATTTCTCTCTCATAGGTCAATCAGTAATATTTTGATCTCAGAATTTGTTCCCTGTCCAAAGAATGTATCAGGAGATACTGTTTGAATATTTAACAGCTGCTATTCCTCGTTAGGAGCTTAGTAACACGAATGTGTGCATAGCAAATCGCAAATTTATCATTTTGAATTCATGCACCGTATATTATATAAACCGAGGAGATTTAATAACTTAATTGTGTATTTTTTGTTATTTTGTTACCCCAGTTCATTCTAAAAAATATCTGCCAGTTCGTATGATACGGGGGTTTGCAGAACAACATAGCTGCAAAATAAGAGGTCAGGATATTAACAAAACTTAAGATCTACAAGGTCGATAAACTGCACCATATGTTACCTATGATATAGATCATGGTTGGTCGTTGACATAACCTATCATAATATAATGATGCAACGCGAGGCTTTATTTTTTGTCAATGAATGAGTGTTTTGAATGAATAAATGATCATCTATGGCAAGGTTTGGGGGCATTTGTGTGGAACTTTTCACCACAAGAGTTCCACAAGACACTGGGTTTCTGAAAATAAATACAAGACTTTCGACTTAGAATAATATTCATAGAGTGTTTTGGGTTTGTGGTGTTTTTCACCACAAGAGTTGCACAAGATATTGGACTTAGAAAAAAATCAATTTTTTCCAAAAATTTCTTCTCAGACACCCTCTGGGCATGTGTGGTACTACATTCCACAAAATTTTCGACTTAGAATAATTTTGATAGAGTGTTTTGAGTCTGTGGTGTTTTTCACCACAAGAGTTCCACAAGATACTGGACTTAGAAAAAATATCAATTTTTTCCAAAATTTCTTCTCAGACCTCCCTCTGGGCCTGTGTGGTACAACATTCCACAAAAGTTTCGACTTTGATAGAGTGTTTTGGTCTGTGGTGTTTTTCACCACAAGAGTTCCATAAGATATTTTTTCAAAAAATTCTTCTCATACCTCCCTATGTGCCTGTGTGGTACCACATTCCACAAAATTTTCGACTTAGACCCTGATATTGTTTGAGGTCATGCAGATATAGAGATAGAACTATGACATAGTCTAGACGGGGGACATTATACACCTGATCAATGTCCAACCGATGACCAGAGACACAAACAACATACACGGTCAGTAGATAAATAAACAAATAAATCTAGGTTTGTTTACAATATTTTATAACCGTTCGATTTTTAAGTCGGTCAGCGTAACATAATATTAATCCAATGAATTGATTATGGGAAGAGAGAGAGAGAGAGAGAGAGAGAGAGAGAGAAGTTTTAACGTCCACTCGACAATTACTAGGTCATTTTAGGGCTCATATATGGTTTAATTTTATTTCAATAATGCACCTGCACGATCCGCCCCCTTGTCACGTACAAGCTGGGAATCAAAACATCGCCATCTAACTCAATGACAGACCTTTTCAAGCAACGCACATAAGTTAACCATTTCGGTACCCAACCCTGCTTTGACTAATAAATCTGTCCTGTCAACACAGACATGGATTAAAACTGGAATCTGTATGATAAGGAGAGCTGTTAAATATATTTCCCGAATAAATCATGTGTACTAACGGATCAATGTAGTCTTAAACACATGTCATCATCCTCCACTTTGCTCAATATTGTGTTTAAACACATTTCCATCTTCCGTTAGCCGTGGGGTGGGGGGAGGGGTGGTATTGGGAAGGGCTCCTTAAATTGAATGGGGTAGGACTAAACGCCATCTAAATCCGAACGGCACACAATCACGTGGTTACGATGCGGGTTTTCAACGTTGTTGGGATATTCTGATCTTCATTCGGCCATATTCATTTTGATCGAACACAATCTCGATCCCATAGATAACTTTACCCTTTGTTTATCGTTGTTAAAACCCGTCGGCCATGTGAGTGATTCGGCCAAATACCTGAAATTTCTAAAGAAACGCAAGTTGGAGCTGCCAGCTTGGATCTTTGTGAAGCGACCGACGGAAGGTTACATCACATGGCATTCAAAATGGCCGACGAGTTTTACTAGAGATAAAGAAAGGGTAAACGTATCTTTGGGTCGAGATTAGATCGACCAGTGTCAACCATTTACCGTGTTTCAGATGTGCTACAAATCGATAAACACACATTCCACACAAACCCTACCCGCACCCCGTGTCTTGTTTTTCATGCAAAATCAGCAGTCACCACGCCCCGGAAGACCAGTTCTATAACATTAAAGAAAACAACCAGCCCTCCCTATGATGTCAAATAAAGTCTTCTATGTTATGTTAGATTTAATTTTTATTATAGCAAAGACGATTTGATCTGCGTTTCAGCCTCGTAAAAAAAAGTTAACAAAGTGAAAGTAAAATAATGAAAATCACAGTTTAAAACCATATTTGAATTCATATTAATAACCATTTTCTTGAGCTCTGAATGTAGTTCGTCTAACAATTGGGTACATTAGCAGCATGATCACATGTGCTTATTTCTGGATTGAAAGCGAGGCCTGGGGCACATGAGAGAGCATTTCCGGTTCGTTTGCCAAAAGCACACATGTAGAATTTGGTGCAGTCAGTGGAATCAGCGACAAGGACTTTGCCATTACAGATATCTTCGGTTTCAGGTGCTGGAGCAGCTGGGATACTTTCATCGATATGAACACAAGTGTGTTTTTCTTGATCCCACATGGTAGTTGGTGAACAGTCGTGTCTCTTGGCCACTTCATTATCACATTGGTAATATCTTTTCTCGTTCTCGGGATGGTCGAAATATTTAACAACGTTCGGTGGGCATCGATCTGTAATAAGACGAGAAAATCCTAACTAAATTGGAGAGAGAGAGAGAGGGAGAGAGCGAGAGAGAGGGGAGAGAGTGCTATCGTAACGCATCACACGACAGTGGGAAGCTAGCATAATATAATTGTCGTGGTTATGTTCGTGGTGGGGGTGGCGGTCTAATGGTGTTCGGTCTTATCGTCTATTCATATTCACAGTGAGAGAGAGTCCCTGGGTAACAGGGTTAATTATGTTGCGTACCTACTAAAATGAGCAATCTATTGGTGATTATAAAGATACATGTATGCACCCCAAAGCCAATTATTTGGAAATTATTGACTAAATTCTAATAAGGTGATATATGAGAAACCTATACGTTGACCCTTTCCAGGCCCGCTGTCATGAATCACTAACAAAGGGGAACTACGTCAGATTATTCCGATGAACTTTCTCTGCTAACACGTCTTACTCACTGAGCCACAGTGGCTCCCATGGTGTGTGAGACAAATCAACCAAACCCACATATTGAGACATATATGTCAAACTTTACCTCCGCATTCCTCGGTATTGCAATCAATTGTTCTATTTTGCAGACTGGCTCCACTGCAACTGGCACCACCGTAAGCAGGGGATGGGTTGGTGCATGTTCTGGATCTCCATTGGTCCATTTTACCAGTACCGCACATGGCGCTACATTCGTCATATTCTTCCCATTCTGAATAATCGGACCATCCACCATTAACTGGTAAAATAAAATAATTAAACATTTGTAATTGAACATGTTAAGCAACATCAACTGGATTTTTTGCTCTTGAAGAACACCTTTTAAAGCTTCCAAGTTTTCAAATTCTGAACAAAACATCTTTTTGTGATTCTTCAAGTGGTGATCAAGAACCCCGATGAACTGAAAATGAAATTGGTTTCTTTACGGTATCGGTATTCTCGACATTATGGAAATGACTAAAATTCACCCTTTGAACAAAAATCTCGAGAGGGCACTTCCAGTCTCCTTATAGATGGGTAATTTATAGGAGACTACTCATATACCTCTATTATGGAGAATGAAAAATTACCTATCGACAAAAACTGAAAATATACCACATGCAAAAACTGGTCCGCGAACACCAACCCAACAAACATTATAAGCCAGAAATAACCCAGCAGTTTCCTACCTTACTTAAAGTATGAGCGTAACCTAGGAGCAAGACGTCGTTGCCGACATCTTGAGAAATAAATCTGCAGCTCCTCCCTACTCAATAACAAGTAAGGGCGTACCCTATGGGAAAGCAACCAATCATGACACCACCCCCGCTGTCTTGGAATTGTGGCGTCATATAAAATATGGAAGTCAAGCGACGTGCAATTTATCAAGGATCGTGCATGTAAAGTTTCACGTCGATTATACTTGAAAGGGTGTAGCCATGTGCTTCTTTTACAAAGCGTTTCGCCCCCCCCCCCACCAAGAAGAACAACGCTATGAGTAGCGCTTGGGACCAGTTCCTTCTAAAACAAAACTTAAAACAAAAGAAACTTGCTTACTTGGGCATGGTCGAAGATTACAATCAACAATTTCTGTTTTTCTCGATGGACCATCGCATGTATTACCACGTTTGTAAGGAGATGGATTGGTGCAGGTTCGTGTTAGAGTACGGATCTGGGATCCGGTTCCGCAGGTAGCACCACATAAGCTTCTAGTTCCGGTTTCCTTGTATTCTGTCCAACCTCCATGTTCTATTCATATAAACAGATGATTACAGCTTTATATTATGAGAAGTATTATCAATAGGTCTAGACATGCTGAAAATCATCATTAAGATCCGGTGGTAGGCGAATTTCCCCGCCTACTTTGCCCCTTGCGCCGGATATATTTTATATCCATTTGACATTTTGTTTTAAAAAACCGGATCATATTATGGTAATCCAAATAAAGCGATATTCTGAAGTTTGATTTTAAAGCCAAGACCAATGGGTAGTAGACCTCCTTGTGAGCGAGCCAGCATCTTACTTAATGACCCACCGCGGCCCCTCCCTCATACTATATATGGAAATGGTATCAGTTGCTCTAGGCATGCTTGTAGCGAAATGTCATCCCACATGAATTCAAATGAAATTAAATGGAATTAAACATTTTATTTCCCACATCAATTGGACTAATGAAGACGGGCATGCGCCATGCAGTGTGTTCTTAGGGACACGTGAGCACGTTGTTACCAAATAACCATTGGAAGGTGAGGTTCGCAGAAAGGGTAGGCACTATTTCCCCTCATAACACACTGCCCGGCGTATGTCCGTCTTTATTAACCCATCGGGTACAAAAAAGTGAGACAGTAAATATTACTTACTGCAATATTCGGTACAGGTTCCGGAAACAGATCTGAAAAGGTGGTAAATGGTATTGTAGTAAAACAGTGACCTGAGCGGAATCGGTTCAATTCAAGAAAAGAGTACATCTACCCATGAATATTTGTATGTTTTATCATGGTTAAATCATGAGATTTGTAACCCCGCTCGACACTACCATTTTGTGAAAGTTGATTCTCTAACGGGAATGTCCGTCAAAAATGGTTTCATTGCGTTCACTATTTACAGAGAGATGACGAATTGAATATTTCGCAATATTCGGCATCCTGTCACTGTAACATTGACATATCCAACAATAAGTATACTGTTTTTTTAATGCGGTCCTTCTCCGGTTCACATATGTTATACACAAAAACACTAATTTCAATAAGTAAACCATTTCAATTTTATTATATTGAAGCGGAATAAATACTTCTCAAACTATACTTAGTATATGTGTAACCGATCATAATTATTCAATAGTAACAAGCTAACAGTGTGTGCAAACTTTAACAATATGATGCGGATGTGTTTAAGACGAACCTATATCTGGTACATCTACTCCAGCCATACCAGCCACATCTTACACTATATCTCTGTTTCTTTTGACATGTGTAACTGCACCTAAAATAACACGAAAGGAATGGGTTTAAAGGAGCTAAATCGCTAACATTTGGGACCTAGAAATTGACAAAAGTGGGTCGCAACGCATATAATACTGTAATATTAATGTATATAAACTGATTTACATTCAATGGTTTCCGTTTCACTCCAATTTCAAATCCGTTATGTTCGGCGAAACAAGCCAGCAGTCTCATGCGCCGTTTGATTTGGTACAATGTGTCTAGCTCCGTCCCTCGAGTCTCTTGATACAACTGGGGCTGAAGCGCATTAGGTACACGATTCGTGTACCAATGGTAAAATGTTTATTTTGTCTTACATTGGATATCAAAAGCCCATCTTTTCCCGGTAAGATCAGCTACTTTAATGTGTTACTGTTCTGCTCCGACTCGTCCAATGATGGACAGGTAGCACATTTTTATAAAAGAAATTTAGCAGTGGGGGGGGGGGACCCGGAGAGAACCCAGGAGTTTGGACAGGCGATCTTACTCCTTGTCACGTGCATGCAGGAATCGAAACCACGCCACTTGACTCAATGAAAGACCTTGTGATTTCACGCACACGCGTTAAACCATTCGGACACTTACCCCTCAGCCGGAAAGGAATGGCACACAAATCTAAAGCATGGTCCAGGAACGGTCCCGGGTGCGAAAAATCTTATGAAAAACTGACTGTAAATGGCGATTTTTAGAGACAATCCTTATGTTTCTAGCTTATACACAAATTTACCAATTCATCAAAGACGAGGTAAATTCAAGACCAAATAGGGACCCCAAACTACGTGAAAACATTAACGTCTTTAGAATCCCCAGCGCCATACTCACAGGAACATTCTTCGTCCATCCGTGGCATGATCTACACGAGTGAGTATTTCGCTGTGTCAGTAACCACTCGGTCCCGGGTTTGATTTGTCGTCCAATCACGGCTAGACGCTTTTACTTGTCAGTCCCTCCGCTCTGCACATCTGACAAGGGCACACCGAAACTGACTCGGCCAACACCAAGATCGAGCCGCGGGCTTCCATGTTAGCGAGCGAATGCGCCATTATACCCACATTCCTCATCTTAAAATTAAAGATGCATTATGTAAGAGCTTACAGCTCTATTTTTGGTTTCAAATGTTATTAAATTATTTTTTTAGACATTTATTCCAATGACAAGTCCATAATTCACCCTCTAGATCATCGGATGGTCTGGATTTAAATGGATTTGAACACCCGCTAGATACTTAATCTCGGTTGACAAGTATCGTTCCTACAATATTAAACTATCAACGCTACATCTTCAAACAGTCATAACTACGACCAGAATAAAGTACCTGTTTTTGAACTATTTTAGCAAGAACGTACAGCTCTTTATCTAAATATTACTTAACGCACCTTTAAAATAACAGGCTATTATTTGTATCTAAAGCATGGTCTGCCTAAAGCAGTGATGTTATTCTATTGTAAAACTTACCAGTCGGCAGACACCTCATAGAAACACACCAGCAGTAGAAGGGCACAGGCAGCAGTTCTCATCTTGATGGTGATTCGGTCCGAATTATTTCACTTTAAAAGTATTCCAGATTTTATAGTCAACCGAGTAAAACGGAGACCGATTGGTACTTGGAGCCATTCGCCCCCCCACTGACACACAAAGCCGGGAATTAACATGTAATTATTGTAATTTCAGATCGATTTCTTTCTTAAGTTGGTTTTGTAGATTTGTTTAAGTTTAAGGTTTGTTTTGTTTGGCATGCCGAAAAGGAGTATCGTTTCTTCGAGATGTTTAGTCATATGCAGTAGAGCTTAAATGTAAATAACAAATGTTAATCTGATATGATTTGAAAAAGAAATAATACTTAAATTTATTAATACATACGTCAAGAATCGAACATGGGTTATCTTAAAGTGGTAGTCCTGATGTTGTATTATGTACAGGAGTCACGGTGGCTGAGTGAGGAAGAGGCTGGCTCGCCAGTCTGGAGGTTACGTGTTCAGTCTCGGGGTTGGCCGAGAAATTCATCATGATTTTTCGGCGTGGTTCCTCCTAACAAGGGCATCTGACTTATAGTCCTGATTGCGTTCGAACGCGCTCCTATTGGCATTGCGTGTACAACCCCGCCCTGGCCTATAGCATACTTTATAGCATATGATGGTCTTCATTATCCCGGTTTGAGCAAAACAGTAGGACGTTAAATCCCATTTCATTTCATTATAATAAACAGGTTTGTTTGTTTGGTTTCAAGGAACGGTGTCTAGTCGTTCGGATAGGACGAACACCTAGGTCCAGTATACACATTGGCCTGCGTGTAAAGGGCAGCTGACTAATAGTCCTGGTTGCGTTCGAACGCGCTCCTATTGGCATTGCGTGTACAACCCCGACCTGGCCTATAGCATACTTTATAGCATATGATGGTCTTCATTATCCCGGTTTGAGCAAAACAGTAGGACGTTAAATCCCATTTCATTTCATTATAATGAACAGGTTTGTTTGTTTGGTTTCAAGGAACGGTGTCTAGTCGTTCGGATAGGACGAACACCTAGGTCCAGTATACACATTGGCCTGCGTGTAAAAGAACCCTTGGTAGTTAGAATTTCAAACAAGAATATGTTGAAGCGCCGCTGTCCGGGTAAAGTGTCGGGTGTCCGTCTCTATTAAGCCCCCATCACACCGTGACAAGTTCAAAAAAGTTCCCTTACCCGTCCTGGAAAATCGTAAAACGGGCTGTGGTCGGGGTAGTATGTGCAAATAGTGTCTATAATACGTCTATCTCGCTTGTGGGCCCACCCCGTCCATAGCTAGTTCATATCAAGTTCAGATCGGGTAATTTTACCATTTTCAAGCACTCTGCTCATGGTCGTAATTCCCAAAACGTCTGCAATTGATTTTAACTAGTTCTAACTAGTTTGTTACCTGACCACCCTGTTCAGAGACAGTTCAACTCGTTCTTATCGCGTTCCAACGCGCTCCGATTGCGTGTGCAATCCCGTCCTGGCTCAAGGGCTATGAAATCCAACGCGTTCTTGCCATTCCTCATGCCCGTTAAACCCTACAAACTGTGCTGATCAAGGCCCCACCCCACCAAACTAGTTAACTCATTACGTTCTGGAAAATGTCACCAAACGGACTCAAACTGTGTGCGAACGGACTGATCATGTTTACGACATGTATAAGAAGTTTATCGACGGGCTTGGACTGGCAGGGTGCTCTAGAACTTTGAACCTGTTCAAGATTTTCCCCGGCGTGCATTTATACGGAGAGACAACTTACTTAAAAAGAAGTGGACGTACTACGAACGGAATTGTCGTACTACTAGGGACGTGTTACATTACATAAATTTGTAGCAGTTTATTTATTTTATAATATTTCTTGGGGGTGGGTGATTTTTTGTTTAAACATACATTATGCAAGAGCTAAATCTGCTTATTGTAGGTCTTTCTTTAGGCCTGAAATGATATCTAAATTATTAATTAGACATTAATTAACCTATCCAGACCATAATCAACCCTAGATCGCATCGCTAGCCTGCGATCTTAAGTGGATTGTGAGCCGATTTACTGCATAACTTTCCTTCTCGATTAAACGATTAAGTGGATAATCGAGACTATGCTGTTTATCGTACTGATTTTTGTTATGATGACCGAAGCTAGGCAGAAATTTCATTCGCTTAGTTCTCGGTTCATAGTGGATCAATTTGAATGAAATTTTCAGCAAATTGCCTTTACGTTATCTAGTTTTTAATTATTATAGTGAGAACTGCCAACTCGTTATCGAATATCTTTAAGTATTTCTTATTGTGTATCATATAAGTTTACTAGTATTGAATTTGTTTGCATATTCTATGGATAATAATACTGTAGTGTTGTGTTACTAATTCATTTGATAGGGAAAAACCCCATGGCTATTTAGCCTTCTTTTTTTCCATAATTAATAAAGGCATAAGGTTAGATAAAGGGCTGACAGTTCTCGCTGTAATAGTTAAAAATAGATAATGAATATTTTGAAAATATCAGTCAAATTACTTCACCCTGAACCAAGGAATCAGCTTATCTCGATTGTCATTAATACCGTTGTTACGATAATAACGTCTCGATTATCCATTTTTACGGTAACCGCATCCAGCAGAAAACGTATTTGAATCAATTAAATATCGCAGGTATCCGATGGCACCGAGAGTTGAGTCGGGTCTCGGTAAGTTAATTAATGTCTAATTTATAATTTAGATGGCGACGTGAAGTTAGCTTGTTGTTCGTTGTTCGTTGTTCGGTATTCGCGAATAACGAACAACGACCTGGTTTGTTGTTCGTTATTCACCAGATATGGAATCAGTAATATAATAAAGGCACTTTTAGAGAGAATACGCCGGGAGTGGGTTTTTATTAGACTAATTGGTTCATAAATCTTCAAAGTCTTGGGAATAAATATTCTAACGACCTTTGAAGATTTATGAACCAATTAGGCTAATAAAAACCCACTTCCGGCATAATCTCTCTAAAAGTGCCTTTATTATATTACTAATTCTATATCTGGTGAATAACGAACAACAAACCAGCTATTTATGAACCAACTAGGCTAATAAAAACCCACTCCCGGCATAATCTCTCTAAAAGTGCCTTTATTATATTACTAATTCTATATCTGGTGAATAACGAACAACAAACCAGCTATTTATGAACCAATTAGGCTAATAAAAACCCACTCCCGGCGTATTCTCTTTAAAAGTCCCATTATTATATTACTATTTCCATATCTGGTGAATACCGAACAACAGACCAGCTCGTTGTTCGTTATTCTCGAATACCAGGTGGTTTGTTGTTCGGTATTCGCGAATAACGAACAACGACCTGGTTTGTTGTTGTTATTCACCAGATATGGGATTAGTAATATAATAAAGGAACTTTTGTATGGAATACGCCGGGAGTGGGTTTTTATGAGCCTAATTGGATTATAAAACTTCAAAGTCTTGGTAAATAGATTCTAACAACGCCTCTTTCTTCCCGCACAACGAGCTGTTTCATATTGGCGAATAACGAACAAGGGGCCAGTTGGTTGTTCGGTATTCACGAATACCGAACAACGAGCTGGTTAGTTGTTCGGTATTCACCAGATATGGAATTAGTAATATAATATAATAACAACGCCTCTTTCTTCCCGCACAACGAGCTGTTTCATATTGGCGAATAACGAACAAGGGGCCAGTTGGTTGTTCAGTATTCACGAATACCGAACAACGAGCTGGTTTGTTGTTCGGTATTCACCAGATATGGAATTAGTAATATAATAAAGAGACTTTTATAGAGAATACGCCGGGAGTGGGTTTTTATTAGCCTAATTGGTTCATTAATCTTCAAAGTCTTGTGAAAAAGATTCTAATAATCTCTCTTTATACCCGAACAACGAGTTGTTTCATATTGGCGAATAACGAACAACGAACAACAAGCTAACTTCACGTCGATAATTTGGATAACATTTCAGGCCCAAAAGGAGTAGAACTTACGGAGAACCTATTGGGAACAATGTAGAAACATGTTGCCAACGTAATGCGGTTGAGCTACAATCAAACGGCTAGTAATTGATACTCGACTACATCACGTTCATAGTACGGCAGTTGAGTTCGTAGTACGTCCATCTCGAAATGAGTACGTTGCCACTAAATGCAGGACGGCGGAAAAGGCTCAAAGTTCTAGAGCCATCTTCCGTCCAAGCCCGTCCATGAAGTTCTTAATCAGCTCGTAAACAGTTGCTACAGTTTGGACCTGTTTGGCAACATATTTCAAAACGTATTGAGATCTAATTCGGTTTAATGGGTAATTTAGACCAGATGGAGTAGAAAAGTAGGACGTTAAACAGTCGTTTCCTTTTATTTCATTTGTTTGTCTGTGTGTTTGCGTTGTGGTCGCTATGGGACACCACCCGTTTGAAGTTATACAGTTTTGAATGACTTCATAATTATAGTTTGATAAGGCATGGGATGGCGCTAATGATTTTGTATTAGACGCAGTGTCCGCTCTCCCGCATTATGGTTCCGCTGGTGTCCAACGGTGTTAACAGCATTTTGACAAATGGAGTCTAAGTTTGGTTTGCGCCTTTTGGAGGTAAAGAAATGAAATAGGGTTTAACGTCCTACTCGGAGGTAATGAAATGAAATGAAATTGGGTTAATGTCCTACTCGGAGGCAAAGAAATGGGTTGAACATAACCTTGCAAACCCATTTAAAAAAATAATAAAAAAATAATTGTGCTATTTATTTTGTATTTAGTGCAGTATTTAAAGATGCATTATGTAAAATTTAGAAAAGGAGCTGGACATTCTTTATATAATAGTCCAAAAATAAATAATGAAAAGTGAATATATTGAACATTTCATTCAAATTACTTTATTCTGAGAGAAGTTATGGCTGTTTGAAGATATAGCGTAGATGGTTTATTAATTCATATAACATTTGAAGCCAAAATTAGGACCAGCAATAAGAAGATTTAGCTCTTACATAATGCATCTTTAATGCTAGTTGTCATATTATAGCTGGTACTTGAATGGAGACAAACGTCGGGTAAACCATAAAGTAGATTGGATAATTCTGTGAGAACCCTGCTTATTCTAGTCGTTATAGTGATGGCTGCCTTTTTAACCAAGTATCATTAGATTTTAAAATCAAGGCCGGACTATTCGCTTCATTTTAGTGATGGCGGGCGTCGTCTACGGGGCATAGCATGCTGGTACCAGTTTTGATTTGAGGCGTTAATAAAGCTAAATTTTTTAAAACAATACAATCAATATTGTCCAAACAAACTTTGCCTGGAACATTTCAATTGCAGGCCACGTTTCTCTAGAGGCGTGAGATTTAATGGTGGCCAAATGAGGCGTACGTTATAAATCAAGATGTCATGCTTATTTCCCCATTCATATGACACGTTCGTTCTGTTTAAAATTCATTCTAACACACCCCATATTATTTAGTGTAATCATTTCGGACGGAAATGTAACTATCCAGACTGCCTGACAGAGTCCTTAATTGGGGCTAAACGTCCCACTTTTCTGCGCCATACGACGTTCTATGACATAATTTTTGGCCGGATAGCGGCGTACCAACTGCGAAGGTTTCTTTCACATGCACGCATACTTAATACGGGAGCTCAGGTTTTCGTTTTTGTACAATCCGAATGAGACTAGATACTGGTTCTTGCAGCCCCCCCCCCCTACAACACTGACGTGAGTTTCGTGACCCCCCCCCCCTTTCCTACAACACTGACATGGGAGAACAAAGGTTGTAAATCCAAATTGCATATCGCGACCAACACCGGGATTGAACCAGCGTGACTCCTGCTTTCAGAAAGGGCAAATAGTTTGAGATAATTTTACTTGTCACTCTTTAAACAAATCCACGTTATAAGCCTTTAAGTGCGTTATAAGCCACTTTCTTATTCCTATCGTAAAAAGCGAAGTCAATATATGAAATAAAATCAATAATCTAATGATATTAATCTATATAATGACGTAATAGTAAACCACAAACCTACAATCAGCTGATCTTTATTTGTATTATATTAAGTTAATATGTAGGCTAATTATTAAAAGGCTCCTCGTAATGCAAGGATCTTTCAATCCCAAATATGAACTAATGCTTCACTTACCTCTTTCAGAGAGAGAGAGAGAGAGAGAGAGAGAGAGAGGGGGGTAATGTCCAGTCGACACATTTGGGATTAACAATTAGAAATCTTTAGCTGTGGTAGCAAACCAGAAATCGATGCAAAACGTGGCCTCTATATAGATTGGGAAATGGGATATAGCCCTGGTAGTGGCAAATAATGTGTTGGGAGAAATACTATTTGGGAATATTGGCGAATAACGAACAACGAACAACAAGCTAACTTCACGTCGATAATTTGGATAACATTTCAGGCCCAAAAGGAGTAGAACTTACGGAGAACCTATTGGGAACAATGTAGAAACATGTTGCCAACGTAATGCGGTTGAGCTACAATCAAACGGCTAGTAATTGATACTCGACTACATCACGTTCATAGTACGGCAGTTGAGTTCGTAGTACGTCCATCTCGAAATGAGTACGTTGCCACTAAATGCAGGACGGCGGAAAAGGCTCAAAGTTCTAGAGCCATCTTCCGTCCAAGCCCGTCCATGAAGTTCTTAATCAGCTCGTAAACAGTTGCTACAGTTTGGACCTGTTTGGCAACATATTTCAAAACGTATTGAGATCTAATTCGGTTTAATGGGTAATTTAGACCAGATGGAGTAGAAAAGTAGGACGTTAAACAGTCGTTTCCTTTTATTTCATTTGTTTGTCTGTGTGTTTGCGTTGTGGTCGCTATGGGACACCACCCGTTTGAAGTTATACAGTTTTGAATGACTTCATAATTATAGTTTGATAAGGCATGGGATGGCGCTAATGATTTTGTATTAGACGCAGTGTCCGCTCTCCCGCATTATGGTTCCGCTGGTGTCCAACGGTGTTAACAGCATTTTGACAAATGGAGTCTAAGTTTGGTTTGCGCCTTTTGGAGGTAAAGAAATGAAATAGGGTTTAACGTCCTACTCGGAGGTAATGAAATGAAATGAAATTGGGTTAATAACCTTGCAAACCCATTTAAAAAAATAATAAAAAAATAATTGTGCTATTTATTTTGTATTTAGTGCAGTATTTAAAGATGCATTATGTAAATTTTAGAAAAGGAGCTGGACATTCTTTATATAATAGTCCAAAAATAAATAATGAAAAGTGAATATATTGAACATTTCATTCAAATTACTTTATTCTGAGAGAAGTTATGGCTGTTTGAAGATATAGCGTAGATGGTTTATTAATTCATATAACATTTGAAGCCAAAATTAGGACCAGCAATAAGAAGATTTAGCTCTTACATAATGCATCTTTAATGCTAGTTGTCATATTATAGCTGGTACTTGAATGGAGACAAACGTCGGGTAAACCATAAAGTAGATTGGATAATTCTGTGAGAACCCTGCTTATTCTAGTCGTTATAGTGATGGCTGCCTTTTTAACCAAGTATCATTAGATTTTAAAATCAAGGCCGGACTATTCGCTACATTTTAGTGATGGCGGGCGTCGTCTACGGGGCATAGCATGCTGGTACCAGTTTTGATTTGAGGCGTTAATAAAGCTAAATTTTTTAAAACAATACAATCAATATTGTCCAAACAAACTTTGCCTGGAACATTTCAATTGCAGGCCACGTTTCTCTAGAGGCGTGAGATTTAATGGTGGCCAAATGAGGCGTACGTTATAAATCAAGATGTCATGCTTATTTCCCCATTCATATGACACGTTCGTTCTGTTTAAAATTCATTCTAACACACCCCATATTATTTAGTGTAATCATTTCGGACGGAAATGTAACTATCCAGACTGCCTGACAGAGTCCTTAATTGGGGCTAAACGTCCCACTTTTCTGCGCCATACGACGTTAGCGGCGTACCAACTGCGAAGGTTTCTTTCACATGCACGCATACTTAATACGGGAGCTCAGGTTTTCGTTTTTGTACAATCCGAATGAGACTAGATACTGGTTCTTGCAGCCCCCCCCCCTACAACACTGACGTGAGTTTCGTGACCCCCCCCCCCCTTTCCTACAACACTGACATGGGAGAACAAAGGTGGTAAATCCAAATTGCATATCGCGACCAACACCGGGATTGAACCAGCGTGACTCCTGCTTTCAGAAAGGGCAAATAGTTTGAGATAATTTTACTTGTCACTCTTTAAACAAATCCACGTTATAAGCCTTTAAGTGCGTTATAAGCCACTTTCTTATTCCTATCGTAAAAAGCGAAGTCAATATATGAAATAAAATCAATAATCTAATGATATTAATCTATATAATGACGTAATAGTAAACCACAAACCTACAATCAGCTGATCTTTATTTGTATTATATTAAGTTAATATGTAGGCTAATTATTAAAAGGCTCCTCGTAATGCAAGGATCTTTCAATCCCAAATATGAACTAATGCTTCACTTACCTCTTTCAGAGAGAGAGAGAGAGAGAGAGAGAGAGAGAGGGGGGGGTAATGTCCAGTCGACACATTTGGGATTAACAATTAGAAATCTTTAGCTGTGGTAGCAAACCAGAAATCGATGCAAAACGTGGCCTCTATATAGATTGGGAAATGGGATATAGCCCTGGTAGTGGCAAATAATGTGTTGGGAGAAATACTATTTGGGATCGCAAAGTGCCACCAGTGGCTCCAAGTCAGAACGAACATGTTTGGTTTGTGTTGACTATATACTTAATTGGACTGGAATCATTTGGGGTAGACGCAAGCTGCTCCCATCCCCCAGCCTCCTTTCACGTTGTTTCCGGCGTGGTCCCCCCTTGTCAGTGATGCAGGACGGAGGGCCTGACAAGGACAGCTGTATAGTCCTTCGGATGATACGAAAAACCGAGGTCCCGTGTATACATTGGAATGCACGTAAAAGATCCCTTGGCAGTTGAAATTCGATATAAGAGTAGGCGATAGTACCGCTGCCCGGGCAAAATTTCCCTCATAGCACACTGTATGGCGTATGCCCGTCTTCATTAGCCCAGCATAGGAGCAGAACAGTAGGACGTTAAACCCCATTTCATTTCATTTCATTTTTCCTTTCACGTTGTCAATAACTTTACCAGATCAATCATCGGAAGAAATATATTTATTCCATTTGTTTGTTTACATAATATTGTAAATTAATTATGTTTATTTGTAACAATACTGATTCAATGACAAATTGAAAAGCTATAGATTCTCGTGGATTAAAGTCAGTCATACGGATCACGTGATGATACTTTATTTTACAGTTGGTCATAAAATCCCTCCATGTGGTTTAACATATTATTGGAAGCTATTAGGCACATGTTGCCATCCGAACGTCTAGACGTTTGTACGTGCCAGGCCATTGCCCAACTGATAAGAGGAAACGACTCCGGAAATCCCAAGTAACCATCCCGACGAGATCACACACCATACGAGGACCTAAAGAAATAAAATATCGAGTTTTTCGGCGTGGTTCCCTCTTGTCTGTGGTGCAGTCTGGGGGTCGGTGTATAGTCGTTCTGATGGGCCGAAATACTAAGGTCTCTTGTACATATTAATATGCACGTAAGAGAACCACTGACATATAGTAGGCCTAAATTCCGCTGACGGGGCAAAATTTCCCTGTCTGCCTTAGCCCAGTCGGAGCAGAAGTAGGACGTTAAATCCCATTTATATAGTTTTAATTCCATCGTTCACATGCATCGACAAATAATACTGTGATAAATCAAGTACCCCCCCCCTCCCCCCCACGTTTCCGTTTAAAAAGGAAAAACAAATTTGAACAAATTACAAGAAAAAAAAAAATGTCAGCATTGCCTAACACCCGGGGACGTTATAGGCAAAATCACATCCGCTCGTAGACTGCCTGAAAACGAGTCCGGCAGGACAAGACATTGCGTTTCCGACTCGTCGTCCATTGGAACACATGTAGTATTTGGAACAATCTGTTGTGTGGGCGGCTAAAAGTCGACCATTACTACAGAAGTCGTCCGGGGGTTGGGTTGAATGAACCGGTGCTGCAGGCTGTACTGGTAAGGCTTCATGAACACAGGTGTGTTGTGTATTATTCCAGACCGTGCCTGGCGAACAGTCGTGTCTCCTAGCAACGTTGTTATCACACTGGTAATACCGTCTGTTGTTTTCTGGGTGATCAAAATAGGTAACTGTATCATTTGGACATTTTTCTGGAAATACGAAAATAAAGTTTGCACATTTAGCTGAAAAAACCGAATATACTATTCAATTAAAGAGGTATTATGTAAGATTAGATACAGAGCTGACGGTTCTCGCTATAATAGTTAAATAATCAGACAAAAGGTATTCAAATCCAGTAAATATCGCAGGCTAACGATGACACCGAGAGTTGATTATGGTCTTATTAATTAATTAATGTCCAATTAATATTCTAGATAAGATTTCAGGCACAAAGAAAGACCTGTAGTAGGCATATTTTACTCTTGCATAATGCATGTTTAAGTAGTGAAGTCCGCTGTGTTCATTAGAACAAAACACCTTTATAGGACAACACAACAGGCCATTGTGTACACGGGACCTCGGTTGTTCGTCCTATACGAATAAAAAGTGGCAAAATCCCGGTGACCGTTCTCGGCGAACACCGACATCGAACATGGCGGCTCCGCAAGCAATGAACAACAAATTTAATTTCACAATGATTTCGTTGTCCTTACCCCCACAATCTTCTGTATTACATTCGATAGTTCTGTTCTCCAAACTAACACCAATACAATCGGCACCTCCAAAAGCAGGGCTGGGATTAGTACAAGTTCTTGAGCGCCACTGGTCCATTGTACCAGTACCACAGATGACGGTACAGTCATCATATTCTTCCCATTCTGTGAAATCCGACCAATTACCATTTACTGAAAACAAAATTCAGTTAAAGCAGATTTATAAGCACTAACTAAGGAAATGAAATGGGGTTTAATATTCTACCTTTCTACACCATCTGAGCATAGAACTAGAATACTAACTAGTTCCATGATCTGAGAAAACGAAGACGAGTATTTAGTGTGCTATGAGAGAAAATTTGCGTCGCTACGGGCTAATCTTCCGCCAACTCCAGGTATTTCAGCCTATGAGAACAACTAGACACCGCTCCTTGTCAGATCCTTCGTCCGGCAACACTGACAAAGTAAACCACGCGGGGAAATCAGAGGGGCCTTCTTAGCCAACATCGGGATCGAACGAGGGGCCTTTTACCACTGAGCTACTGGGTAACCGTCTTGGGTTTTGGTTCTGGATGAAGCCTGGTATTCCCATATACCTTTGAACTTCCAATCTTTGAACTTTTAAAACTAATCATTATTTTGGGGTGCTTTACACACATCAATGACATAACTTGGCTTTCTTCGTAGGTCGTAGTTCCGCTGTCGGGATATAATTTCCCTCAAAGCCCACTGCATTGCATCTGCTCGTCTTTATACCCCAGTCGGTGCAGAAAAGTAGGACACAAACCTCACACCGTACTGCGATCAGTCGTCGACCGATTGGCGCTCTCGAACTTTGAAAATGTTCACCAAAGCGCAGTGACATCGTCGACAATTGTGAAATTCATGAGATGGGACAGCTTACAGTACGTTCTTGACCAACTTATTACCCTCTCACTGTCGCCTTAGCTATGCAGTTCATCAGTACGCTCTCGATGCGCCCAAACTGCTCATGGCGACCCTCCCCCAGCCTGGCAGTTTCCATCGCGTCACTAAGTTGTTCTCAGAGACCTTACATGCTTTCATACTTCAAATTGCCAAGGGTTCCTTTACGTGCACGCCAATGTGTACACGGTACCTGGGTTACTCATCTCATCCGAACGACTAAGCGTTGTCCCTGAACCACTGACAAGGAGGAAGCACTGCGATTAAAACCGGGAGGTTTGAAGTTGAATACTTACTTGGACATGGTTGAGGATTGCACTCCATTATTTCCACTTTGCTGCTAGAACCAGAACAAACTCTACCCCCATTGTAAGGTGAAGGGTTCGTACAGGATCGACTTAGAGTACGGATTTGTGTTCCTGTCCCACATGTGGCGGTACAAGGGGTTCTGGTTCCGGTTTCTGTAAAGGAGCTCCAACCGCCATTGCCTAAGATATAATGAGAATAAACAAATTACTCATAGAAATGTCGTCCGCGACAATTGTATGTTGCTTTTTGAACCAAATATCTTTTTAATGTAAAATAATTTTTTGTTACTTTTAAAACGTATTTTTGAAGATGCATTATATTATGGAAGATGTATATAAACAGAGATAATGAAAGAGGAATATATTGAAAATTTCAGTTAAATTACTTTATTACTTTATGTTTATAATTTTATCAAGATTTTGCCAAAATATTCTCAATTGTCAAGTATCAATGCAAAGATAATACACAAAGTCTCGAGTATCCGTTATCAAATGGAACCCGTGCTCTTATACATTTAATATTTCGGCCAAGGGAGATGACCATGGGCTTATGATGTATATACATTTCGCTCTTGCATAATGTATGTATAGTAATTGTATTAACGTGAATTTTAACTTACGACAGGTTTTGGTACAGGTGCCTCGGTAAGAACTGAAGTGAAACAGATTTATAATTTTATATTCTTAGTCATAAAATTAAGAATAAATATTTTATATATTAAACTGCCAAAATTCTTGGAACGATATTCCCAGGCTTCCATCACCTCTCACTCAACTGGTATAATTGTGTTTAGGAATACACATTGGAAACGAAATGGCTTCCTCTTATATCGTATTCCAACTGCCACGGGTTCTATTACCTCGGTTTTTCGTCCCATCAAACGACTATACGCCGCCCCGTGTTATGCCCTCTGTCCGGAAAAATCCCAATGAACTTTCTCAGCCAGCGCATGGATCGAACACGGGATCTTCGGGTTAGCTAGCATACGTCTTACTTACTAAACCACCGAGGATCCCCAACTTGGCTTGGAATAAACATCAGTGATGACTGATGAAATAACATACTGCCTGTTTCTGTTCTTAGGGAACACCTATTAGAAATTCTGCCTCCCATTGATTCAGATAAAAAACGAGTTTAAGAAATCAAAGTTCTTAGTAAATTTCTCTTCCCCAAAACGTTAATTCTAAATGTTTTGAAACTTTTAACAAATCATCGCACACACGAATTGAGTGGCTTATTTTTTTACACATGGCTTAGAACTACAAATACAATTGGGCCGGCTTGAGCCAAAGATTATGAATGGAACTGGTGAGAGAAATGGGGTTTAACGTCCACTCGACACAAACTTGGCGATATCTTATTTTAATATTTCTCTAGAGCGCAGGGTTCTTTAGCAGTGAAAGGAAACCGTTGGGCAGGCTACAATGCAACTTGTCACGTACACGCCACTTGACGTCATGATTTAAAGCGCATGCGTCATATTTCTATTTTTATTATCTTAGCGCACGCACAGGTGTCGTTCCTATGGGAGGAAATCGGAGTACGAGATCGAGAAGACGCCTCTATCTCAAGGCCACACACGCTCACTCCAGGGATGGAAACCATGACCGCAAGCCAGAGGCGTCCGACCAGCTAGAACTCGAAGCGCGACACTCCGGACAACTAGGCTATCCCAACCCCCGGCGGCTACTCAACCACCTGAATGAGATGTGTAACCGTAACCTACCTGTATCTGGTACAACGACTCCATCCAAACCAACCACAGCTAGTACTATATCTTCTACTCTTTAAACACGAATAACTACAACTATAACAAAAGGAAAGGAAATACTTTTTTAAAGTTTTATATCCTCAACTTTTAGATCAAATCTGGCCGCTATTTTTTCTAGTTCTGATACGCATAATGTCTTTAGCGGATAGTTATCTGTCTGTCTAAAAGTAGCTCGGCCATGAAGATAAATGACCGAAATTTTAATTGCTAATTTTAATTATTCTGCTTCCCTTTAATAAAATTGAAATTGTTTATTTATTATTTTGTGTTTGGAAGATGTAATATGGATTAGAACTACATTACAAATAGTATACTGATTTTTGAAAATGGCGGCGAGTCATGGCAGAGATCTATTCTCAAAGTGGTTCTTTGTGTGCAGAATGACACAAATCAGATGAAAATGAAATGATAATATACTATTAATAAGACTGGTTTATTATGTAAACGTAATACTTACACGTCAGCCGAGACGTCATATAGACAAGCTATGACAACTAAGGCACTAATAACTAATCTCATCTTGGTAAGTTTCGTATTCTAGTGTATGATTCTCAAAATGAGCAGACGTACAATATCCAGCTGCAGAAATAAGAGCCCGTTTCTTATTTTATAGGGAAAATAATTTGTTTGTCAATAAAAAACCAAGCGATTACCGCGATAGTGTTACACCCTTACCTCCCCTGAAATTAATTCAATGTAAATATTGTTAAACAAATGTTTGTGCACATTGTAGTTCCAAGAATTGATTATTTATAATACAGATGTCATTTTCAAGTAGTAAAGATGCATAATGTAAGCGCTAAATTTGCCTAATGTAGGTCTTTTGAATACACCAGGATGTATATTTGTTATCATTATCAGGGTATACGAATACATAATATTTATATATCCAACAACAAAATATATTTATATTTACAAAACTGTTTGCAATATGATAATCATGAATATGTCACCCTTCGATACGTTCAATGTCAAGGATAAATTTACCGCCAGATCAGATATAAACAAGTGTGAGCTTGCACTATGGACCAGACCTTGACGTTAAAGTAGCCATCTTAAAATTGTGACGTCATATCAAACATCGGCGCATTGTCAAATGAACAAACAATTTTCATGTCGATAGTACTTGGATTGGCCGACCCTTTGGCTTTTTTCGATGAGCTTCGTCCCAAAGAACAGCAAGAGAGACTAAGAGAGAGAGAAATGGGGTTTAACGTCCACTCGACACAAACTTGGCCATTTCGGGACTAACATATGGTTCAATTTTATTTCAATAATTCGCTTGCGCGTAGAGTTGTTTTTGGCAGTGGGAGGAAACCGGGGACTAGACATGCGACACTACTCCTTGTCACGTAAAAGTCGGGAATCGAAACGCCACTTGACTCAATGACAGACCTTGTGAGTCAACGGGCACGCGTTAACCATTCGGCCACCCGACCCCCTCTCGTGTTTAATGAGATCATTACAGCTAACTTGATTTCGCTATTGTGGTACGTTAATTAATACGCTCATGTCTGGTGTTGACAAATCACAATAGAGTAATTCAATAGTGACCAATGGTCTAATTTAAATGAGCTTACTTATGGTTTAATACCACACTATCAGTCCATTGGGCTGTAACAAGTGACAGGTACGCCAGTTCTTGTTCAAAACATTTCATTTGTTGAGAGAGAGGACTCGGAGAAAACTCACGAGACTGGTTGGGCAGGCGATCATACTCTTTATCGCGTACAAGCGTGGATTTGAAAGCAATGACAGATCTTATGTTCTAAAGTGCACGCGGTAAATCACTAGACCACCCAACACTTACTCCTTGTCACGTACAAGCGGGGATTCGAAAGCATGTCACATCACCCTATGACCGACCTTATGATCTACAGTGCATGCGTTAAACCACTAGACCACCCACCACCTACTCCTTGTCACGTACAATCTGGGGTGGGAAACCATGCTACTTGACTCAGTGACAGACCCTATGATCTAAAATGCACGTGTTAAATCACTAGACCCGTCCCCCGCCCCGCCCCACCCCACGCACCTTGACGAAGCTCGTTTGAAACCACGAGATTATTTAAGACGTAGTCGAACATGTTTTAATAAATTCCGAGAAATATTACTAATCTAGTTTCTTATTAAAAGGGTATATATTTTATCAATGTAAACAGTGTCATATAACCTATTTAAAAGGGATTATAGACCCTGGGATATGATAATACCTAGTATTCGGTAAATATTTGCACTTCTTCAACATATGATATATGCTTGCTAAGTGTTTTAGAAGTGTCTGTTAATGGGCGTTGGTAATGTGTGTCTAATATAATCTCTATCGTCAGTACAAGCAAGTAAATTAGGGTACCTACCTAGCCCCCCACCCCCAACCCCTCATCTCTAAAACAAAAGTTCATATTGCAATTGAATTTTATAAAGGATATTATTGAGTATTGATCTGAATACATAATGTAGATTAAACATAGAAATACAATCTCTAATCACTGGATGCTAAGCAATGTTTCTTGTCCAATATCAAATTGGTGTTCAGTGAACTTTAATGTTTACGTGGCTTTATTTACTGCATTAAAAAGAAATCGACGATACCCGATAAGTCCAATTCCTGAGTATAGCCACTTTTTATGTTCAACAATGCCAAATTCATCCGTCACTACGGGGTCATAGACGAACGCCGGGTTGATTAATTCGTTTCAAATGATGTATTATCACACCAATCGAAATACAGTACTCTATACTAATATTTGTGACTGTCGTTTGTCTGTCTGTCTGTTTGTCTGTCTGTCTGTCTGTTCGGGGTTGGCGGCTACACTAGGTCTGCCCCGAGTCTGAAATTTGGGGTATAGGGGTAGCTCGGACCGGGGAGTAACATAGGCCAGGTGGCGTTAGTCTACCACTTCCGGTTTCGGAGTTATGGCCCCCGAGCGAAGTCTGTCTGTTCGGGGTTGGCGGCTACACTAGGTCTGCCCCGAGTCTGAAATTTGGGGTATAGGGGTATCTCGGACCGGGGAGTAACATAGGCCAGGTGGCGTTAGTCTACCACTTCCGGTATTGGAGTTATGACCCCCGAGCGAAGCCGGGTATCCTGCTAGTATTTATATAAAAATACAATCTGATTAAAATACAGATCTATATTTCATTTCGTTGGTTTTTTATACTTTCGATTGCCTACACTACATGAAGATCTGTCCAGTTGTACTTAAAGGTCGCGTCATGGGTCGTACGAGCGGTTTTTTACCCTATGACGTCAGACATTGGTTAATCAATCAGCGTTTACGTTCAAGTTGTTTGCCCACAGTTCCGTGCATCGCAACAGACCGTTTCATTGGCTAATCCCTCACTTCAACCAAAAAGTCAGTAGTATAGCATCTCTTCCAGATCCTAGTGTAGTAATGACAAGTTAACGAAATTTTGAACTATAAAAAACGAAACGAAATAGGATCTATGTTTCAATTAGAGTGATAAAAATAGTTGAATTCAGACGTTAAAGGCTCAATACCACTCTTGTTGTAACTGAATAATATGTCCCAATCTTTATTCTGGTCAACAAATTGCACTATTTTACAATATTCCAATTAATTGATGATACAAATTTCATCTTAACACACCTAATTTAAAAAAATTGGAAAAATTCAACCAAATGATTTGAAAAGCCTGACGTAAAGCGTTTCAAATGTGACTTGGATTTAAAAATATTTTTGAACCCTCTGGACAAGTAAAATATGATTTAATGGATAATTTACACACCAGGTAGGACACTAACACATCTAGTACCTAGAATAAGGCTATTTTTTATTTTTTGGAGCTGTCAAGCCAGCAAGAATGTTTGTAGCACTATCGTCGTTGCGACATTGTTTTTAAATTTATAGACAAGGAATAGAGAAATAAGATGCCTTTATATTTCATTAATTAATATCTTTGGCAAGTTAGTAATTTCAAACATATTCACATATATAGTGTGCACTAAATCAACGTAGTCTGTAATTGACATATTGTTACATAAAAAGAGCTCTTTAACCAAAACAGGTGTCACAATTTACCACCAGAATTACACGTGAGTGGAATTATTCTAATTGCATCATTTGACTTAAAGTAACCAATCATATCGTTAATTGCACAGGTTCAGGGCCATGAACAGGCTTCCTGTGCATGATAAACGTGGTTGCTATATAAGATATCTATTTGAACCTTTCAAGACAGGCTTCTATTAGGTTCCAGAGAGCTTACATCTGAGTTCCTAGACAGCCGCAAGAAATGGTATTAGCTAGTATTGTTATCTATTATGCTTGTATACCTGTGTTCAGCTATATATATATAGACAAATTCTAGACGATCACAAGGCCACAGAAATATGTAGTAAGAATGGATGCATGGGTTCTACGTAGGATGTGGCGACCGGTTTTAGTACTGTGTCCGCTTTCTACGTCAGACAGAAGGACCTATGGTGCTACATATTCGATTTGGTGCCGTAACGCAGTTTCGACCTTTAGGGTAAGCAGCAAATTTGGAAGAAGATTAGAAGAAAAGTGAGTATGCATCACACGTTGGATGTGGGACGTTCTCCCGGCATATTTTCCACATCTAACCAGCGAGTGCATAGCACTGCATAGTCTTACATATTCGATTTGGTGCCGTGCTGAAGTTTCGACCTTTGGGGTAAGAAGTCACTTTAGCAGAAGAATACAGATTTGAAGACGTTAAGAAGAAAAAAAAAGATCTGTACAATCCAGCAACAGAGGAAAAATTCTGGTGGAAAAAAAAATCTGGTGAAGATATTCGAAAAATTGGGTAAATACATTTTGTTTGGTAAATTAGATGTGTTAAATTTGTTTAAAGACCAAATAATATTAATTTAAAGTTAAAATCTGATTAGAAACTAAGTATTTAAAATTTAACTGTAGAAAATACATTATAGCCATTCATAAGTTTTGATTGATAGGTATATTAAACAAAATAATATCACTGGTTAGGTGTGTATATTATCAGGTTAACATGACCTGTAGTAAATTTGAGTAAAATTAAAGTTAATGTGGGGGTCTTTAGGGAGTAGGTTTTAAAAATAGGAATAATAAGGAAACGGAATAGGGAATAAAATAAGGAACTAATGTTGTCTCCGGATCGCAGTGAGAACGACGGCAGAGCTAAGGATGAAATTTGTGAGTGACTAACTCTAGTTTCCTAGTTGGCCGTGGTTTCTACTGTGATTCGTTAATTTGTGTTTTTGTGTCGTTCGTATGTGTGGTTAATTAGCTATATAATTTTAAGTCCCTTAGTCCAGGCCTTAGAGTTGTTGTAATTTAACTTTTGATTAAAAAGTTAGGTTATGTTAAAAATCCCATATAATTAAAAATAGGGATGTTGGTTATAGTTTTCCTGGAAAAAAGACCTAAAATTATAGGCTCGTTAAATTGTGAGATTATCGCAAAGTCATTAATACGAGTTTTATAGGAGGTTAAAGTTAAGAATGCGACACTTTTTTTTAGAAAAGTGTAGGTATACGGTAGATTTTGTCCGTATATAATTTTATGTAATTAAATTTTTGCTTAGACACAAACTAGGTCATTT